AACATGTCATCAACATACAACAAGAGAATAATAAAATCACTATCTGAAAAATTTTTCACATAAATACAGTGATCAAATGTAGTCCTGTGGTACTTGTGGTCTATCATGAAGGAATCAAACTTCTTGTATCATTGTCTCGTGTCTGTTATAGACTATACAAGCTGTTCTTGAGACGACATATAAGATTTTCCTTTCCACTTTCTTTAAACACCTCTGGCTGTTCCATGTAGATTTCCTCTTCCAAATCACCATGCAGGAAGGCTGTCTTTACATCAAATTATTCAATCTCTAAATTTAAATTGGCTGCAATACCCAGAACAATTTGAATTGATGACATCTTTACAACAGGAGAGAAAGTTTTTTCAAAATCTATACCCTTTTTTTGACTAAATCCCTTCACAACCAATATTTCTTTGTACTTTGCTTGTGAGCTATACTCTTGAATCGTCAACTTGTAGATCTATTTGTTTTTCAGAACTCTCTTGTCCTTAGGCAGTATCACTAACTTATAAGTGTGATTCTCATGCAGGGACACCATCTCCTCTTGCATGACTCGCAACCAATCTTCTTTGTTCTCATGCTCTAGAGCCTCACAGTAGGACTTTGGCTCTCCTCTATCTGTCAATAACACATATTCATGGGGATTATATCTGTTAGAAGGTCTCCTCTCTCTAGTAGATCTCCTAAACTCATCTTGTGGTGGAGGTGGTGGAGTAGGTGGCGCCTCATGCTCAGGTTCATTAGCAGCAGGATTTTACCATCATCAACATCCTCTTTCTACTCTGTCTCAACTCCCCATTGATTAAAATCAGTAGGTACTAGAACTAGATTTGGATCTAGATTTGAACTAGCAGGAATGTCATATGAGGATTTTGGATTGTCACCTTTATCAATGTCTTCAATAGTTTGATCTTTAAAGAAAACAATATCTTTGCTCCTAATCACCTTCTTATCAAGATTATACAACCTATAGCCAAAATCTTCATGTCCATAACTCAAAAAAATACACTACTTTGATTTTACACCAAGTTTTGACCTCTCATTTTTAGGAATATGAACAAATGTCCTGCAACCAAAAACTCTCAAATGCTTGAAGGATATATCTTTTCCCGTCCATATTTTCTCTGGGATATCATCATCTAGAGAAACTAATGGAGAAAGATTAATCAAATCAACTGCAGTCCTCATTGCCTCACTCCAAAAGGATTTTGGCAACTTAGAATTAGAGAGCATACATCTAATCCGCTCAGTAATGGATCTATTCATCCTCTCTGCTACTCCATTCTCTTGAGGAGTTTTTGGTATAGTTTTCTCTAATCTAATCTCACGGAACTTGTGATAGATTTCAAATGGTCCTCTGTACTCACCACCATTATCAGTACGCACACACTTTAACTGCTTACTAGTTTCTCTTTCAATTTTGTTATGAAAATCTTTAAATACATCCAAAACCTGATTTTTAGATTTCAAAACAAAACACCAAACCTTTCTAGCAAAGTTATCAATAAAACTTATAAAATAAACAACACCATCAAGAGACTTATCTTTCATATAGTAAATATCAGTGTGCACCAATTCTAACGGATTCAGTTTTCTACTTCGAGAAAAATTTTAAAATGCAACTCTGTGTTGTTTTCCATAAATGCAATCAACACAAGGTTTAAGTACATTACCTGTAACTTCAAGTAGAAACTATTTGCGAACAAGTGTCTGAATTTCCTTTTCACCAATGTGTCCAAGTCGCCTATGCCAAAGGTCAATTGATGAATCACGAATTGCATTCACTTCTCCCTTCCCCAACTTGGCTTGCATCAAGTAGAGGGTACTCTGCTTCTTTCCTCTAGCAATAACAAGATTTTCTTTGTTGAGTTTTCATTTGCATCCACCTTGCAAGTTATGATAACCCTCATCGTCAAGTTTTCTTGTAGAAATAAGATTAAGACGAATATCATAGACATGTCAAGCATTTCTTAATATCAGCTGACACCCGACATCTGTATCCAAATATATGTTTTCCGTGTCAATAACTTTGAATGAGACCTCATTTCCTATCCTAATGTATCCAAAATCTTCTTCGGTGTAAATTGAGAAGAAATGCCTATGAGCAGTAATATGGTAGGATGCACTCGAATCAACTACCCTATCACTATCATAATGAATAATATTCACCTGACCATCATCACAGAATACAAACATATCATTATGAGCTACCACAACTGTTGTAGTCTCTTTATCACCTTTTTCTTTCCTCTTACCCTTTTTCTCATCTTGTTCCCATTTTAAAATTTTGCATTCCTTCATATAATGCCCATTTTTTTTACAATATTTGCATGCAAATTTTTTCGTGACTCAAACTTGCATCTGGATTTGTCATTCCTATTGTAGAGTCCTCTACTTTTGCTCCTCCCTCTTCTTTCCTTTTTTTTCTGTCATCAGGGCCTGTGACTCATAGATAATTTCTCGTTCCTTCCTCCTGAACACTTCATTCATCATGGCCTCCTTTGCAATAGCCATGGTCAACACATCATTCGGAACTGAATTGCTGTTAGAGACCACCATGATTTTTCAACTATTCGATAGTGAACTGAATAATAATAGAGCCTACACTTCATCATCCAAATTCGAATTTAACGTAGTTGTCTGGTTTATCAATTCCTGAAAATTATTCAGATATTCAGTCATATATTTCCCATCTTTATATCTCATCCGAGTAATCTGCTTCAGACAACTAGCCTTGTTCAAACTGGTCTTCCGTTCATACATACTCTCAAGCTTTTTTCATAATATATCAGTTCTGGTGTCATTAGCATATACTCTGACTAATTCATTTTCTAATATTACCAACAATTTTTCTGTGCATAACATCCCATTTTTTATCACTCATATCACTTGGTCTACCCTTATACCATAAAACAGATTCAAACAAATCTCTTCAATACAGGTAGCTTTTCATTCTAGACTTTCAAATCGAATAATTATTAGAATCCAATTTTGTCATGCAACCACTATTTGAATCATCCATTTTTAACTAGTATGAAAAAGCAACCTAACCTGACTGCTCTGATACTCTTTTTTGGGAAAGGAGTACCGGTACAGGCACACAATATTAGAATTAGCGTAGAATAAATTTTTCTTTTCCCAAGTACCAATTAAAATAGGAATAAATCAAATCACCAAGCAACGATGCCAACAGTAAAAATAGAATGCAAGAAAAATAAAAGACACAGAACACCAAGATTTTTACGTGAAAAATTCAAATTGAAAAAAATCACGGGACCTAATCCAGTCAAAAATCTTCACTATCATAATAATGGGAATACACAGGTCTATTTGAAACATCTAGATGACAATAATATTGCCAATATCAATCAAGTCAAATCGCTACAAAATCACTCCCAAAAACTACAATTGTCAAAGAAGTGAGTTTGAAAAAGTATTACCAAACAAAGAGAAAATCCAAAATCTGAATAGGTAGATGAGTAGGGCTTGATGAGAGGATCGCGTGTGTAAAATTTCATCTCAATTGGATTTTGAATCACCCTCCAATCAAGACTTTGAAGTTTCTCTTTCTCTAGCTTCTTCACACTTTCTCTCTCTTCGTTTTTCCTCCAAAGGCAAAAGTGATGGCTGACTTTTTTCCTTCTTCACAAGAATGGAATCCTAAGGTTTGTTTTTGTAGTTTGTCCCATAAATAAGCTGGCCCACAAATCCAACATATATATATATTTATATTCATTTAGCAAGAACATATTCAAAGTAAATCTCAATGTCCATTTTGGTAGCCATTCTCATGTCTGTAACCAATAAATAATTTCAAGAAATAATTCATGCGGAAAATTTCTATCACAAAGATGTCCCATAATTTTCTTTTGTTCTTAAACGTCTAGTATTCCATAAGGGTCTGGTAGATTTACCAATAAATGCCAGGCGTAATCTACCATAGTTTGGTGTTTTTTTTTTTTGAAAAATAGCTTGGCAGTTATTGCTTTGGCAGCAGGACCAATTTCATCTTTGTATCATCATATAAAGTTCCAATATAAGTCTGGCAATTACTACTTTTGTCACTTTTTGGCAATCCAACTTTCAATAAAAGTGGTCTGATACTGATAATTGTTTAAACTTTCTCAACTTTATTCTCCCGAAGTAAAACCTGAATTGGCAACATCTTCCACAAAAAGATAATGAATAAAAGTAGAAAAAAAAAGCAAAAATTATGTTTTAACTTTTTGGACTTGACAAATATTTTGGGCTGTGAAAAAAATGGGAAGTGACATTTCCAATAGAATGAAGGAAGTATTATTTTTTCTTTTACATGGGTGGTTTCTTAGACATCGATCAAATTGTGAAAACTATTGGGATAATAGGGACCAGGGACAAGTGCTATTGAAATTTTGGTGCAATTGTCCGATTTTGTACTTTCTCCATAATATGGTATACTTTTATATAACTTTGTTGTATTCAAAATTTATTCATATACATCAATTCAACACATAAATATAATCATGTCAATAAATATACACTAAATTATGAAAAAAGTACAATAACCATGCCTAACTGTGACGTAACTCAATCATATCTATTCCAATTCTGGGATAATAGTGTGCCTTGTCTTCTTAATCTTGCCAAGTAGGCAAGAGTGACAGTAATTTAGACCAATAAAAGAAATACAGCAGAATATGACAATAGTTAGTTGGCTTACAAAGTGGCCGCACTACAACAAAAATGGCCTTTAACGGCATTTAAAAGCGTCAGTATAGATAATCTAACCTGACACTTTATCTATCCTCACACCTAGGGCGAGTGTTGTCCCTTCCAATGTGGGGATTGACTCATACTATTCAACATGTCAGGAAAACTATGCTATTATAACATCCCATCTGCCAACAAAAATCCCTTTTCTTGATAATTGAAAGTGTCAGGATAGGTATAGTACAACATTAGAATATCGAATTCTATGCTGACACTTTTAACTGCCAGGAGTTTTTTGTTCTTTTTTTTTTATATAGAAGCAACCTGCAGGTAGTGCTCCCTGCAATACATTCCGTCAATCAGAAACCCAAAGGACTTGTAAAATTATCCCAAAGAACAGAATCCATATAGTAATCTAAAAGCAAAAGTCAATACTCAAATATAATTTGTTGAACTAAAAGTCAGTAACAAGTACTAACATAACAAATCCCTAACAAATACAAACTTGAAAGATTCTCATGTGCACAAACTTAAAAGATTCTCTTGTGCACAAACTAAAATATTCTCATCCCTAGCAAGTAGAAAGAACTTGCAGTAGCTTCCAAACTTTCCAATGAAATGAGAGCCTTCAGTCATAACCTGATATCTTTTGTGAGCCATCATTATTCTGCAAAGAAAGACCAGAAATAAAAAAATAAATTAAAGATATCAGCACCTAGTAATTATGTTCTAATGTAAAGTAACGATACCAAACAGGATTCATTTCATTCGAAATAAAGTTGATTGCTGAATAGCCAAATTTTGGTACCAAGCAGGTTTGCAAAACTTAACTGGCAAAAGCAAAGGTGATAACGCAAGTTATATTTTCTTGTATATCAAAAGGTTTTGGAATAACACACTGATCCAGTTGCCATCATTGCACTGAAATTTCTACTTGCTATCACCAAACATACTACTAAAGCAGCAAACATACTAAATAAAGAAGAAGAATGACCAAAAAGATAGATGTCATGATTGAAATTACCCCCCTTTAGAAGACTAGAATTTATGAATCTAGATGTAATTTTATCCTTTGGCTTAGCAATGAATTCGAACGTTTGACATAACAATCTGGAGAGAAAATGTGAAAAAACAATACCTCTTCTTTGAAGTTTAGATCATAAGTCTTGTCTTTACCAGAAAACTCAGAAGCAGCCACATCCATCCCAATCACAACCTGCAGCAATTTCAAACTCTTCAAACTGATTTCAATACAGACTTGTTGAAATAAACCATACCACAGACAAGCACCCATCAAATAAGTTCAATTAGGATGTTCAAGAAAGCAATGGCTGGACCAATGCCAGAAGTACCATTAATTTTTTAGGCAAATATCTCACTTCCATTCTCACTCACCACTTCCCTTTATTCCCCAATGTATTTAGCCAAAGAGGGGAAAATACCAAAAAACAAAAAAAAATCTTCAATTGAGTGTACAGATGAGTTTAATTGACAAGCTTATGTAGCGACCACTTGGAAATTGACATTGGCGAGCTGCTAACATACCAGATTCTACGTGCAAAAAGACGGGTGTAGTCTTCCTCCAACACCGGACGGATCAGAACATGTTTCTGGTCAAGGAGCCCAACCTTACAGCACCTCGTAAACCCAGCGAAAGAAAGAATTTCCTAATAACTTCCATGGGTGGTCTGTTGAACAAGAAGCGCCCCACCAAAGAGTTCTGAAATGGAACAGAAAGCTGCTCTATTTCCCTGCGAGAGATGCGCAAGGCTGGCTCTCCTCTAAAGGTTGAGACCTCTCCCAAGGCTAAGGCATCAGTTTGTTTCGTACCATCTGCTAGTACTGATGCAAAGGACCTCAAAACTGAAGTCCCACTGTCCGGAAGCTTGTCAGACGGCCCACAGGCCGCCATCTCCGGCAAGTAGGGACGTAGAGCTGATGTCTATTTTGGCATAAAATTCGTTGAGGCAAATTGACAAACAATTGAGGTGCAAGGCTACACTAATGAATTCAAACACCAACGACTAAAGTTTGGCGAAGCCCAATTTTCAGCAGCAACAAATGCAAAGAAAATTAAAATTCCAGTAGCAGCAAACGTGAGGAAATTGAGTTTCTAATCTTGGAAAGATTGATGTTCAGTTATTCAGCAAGAATGAAAGCAACTTTTCGAGTTTGGTGATGCACTTCCACCACCAAATTGACCACGAGCCCTACTAGATGCCATCTCAATTGTCACCATATCATATTCCCACTTTTTTTCTATGATAAAAAAAAAATTGGTCTTTCCTGAGCACGAGAGAGGACAATTTGGGAGTCGTCCTACATAGTGAACTTGAAAAGCAAAATTATCATATTCATGTTTTTAACCCTTTGGGATCTGTTGAATCCTTTGCGTGTTTTGCCAGTTGGAATCCGTTGAGTCTTTTGTATTTTGATTTTTTGATGGTGCGTTGGGATCTTTTGGGATTTTTGTGACTCATTGGGTTCTGTAGGAACTTTTGTGGGGAAGTGTAGCATATTTGCCACTTGTCTGTCATTTGTTGATGTTGGATACATGCCAAGGTGGAGATTTGTTGAGTTTATCTTTGTATCCCTTATCAAAAAATTTACAAAGAAATCTCTCTCTTGGTGGTTCTAAATACAATGGACTTAATGAGTTAAAATATATTAAGCGTACCAATCCAAGTTTCAAGGCTCCATTCAAGAGAAGTTTTTTGGGGTCTCATGCCCCAAGTCGAGAGAGATTTTGTTTATGCGTCAAACTAAAAGAGCAAGTTAGTGAACCTTTGGACCATTAAACTTTTTTGTGCTATTTAGTCTCTTTTGTATTTTTAGTTTTAGGTGCCTTTAGATTTTAGAATGATTTTCTATGATTTTGTACTTTCTCTCTTTTGTACTCTCTAGTTTGTAGTAATATTATGTTTCTCTTTCACCCGTGGATGTAGGCCAATTCTATTGAACCACTTAAATTTTGATATCTCTCTGTTTGATTTATTTGTTGTGCAGTTGCCTTTGTTGGGTTGTCAAGAGTCTTTTTGTTCTTCTTGTTCAATTTTCTAGGACAAGACCTAACATACATTAATTTTGCAAGAATTCGTTCAGCATATGATCTTAATTTCCTTTGATCGAAACTGCTGATATCTGTCAATAACTTCAATAAATAAATGGTGCGTGAAATTTTGACTTCCATAGCTTTCTTTCTTCTTTAAAATTCATGTTCCATTCTTGATTAGTAAATTTACCAGTAAATGGCAGACATCTGTTAGTGCGTGGTAAAGCAAAACCAGTTTGACTATCCAGTAGTAGTGATGTGGTGTCTTATTACCTCTTAAATTCATTTAATTCTTGTATTAGATGCACATGTTACACATCTTGCTATCTTCATATATAAATTCCATCCATACAAGCCCATCAATTACTTCGTGCTAGTGTTTTGTTGCTTTTTGGTAGAGACAATTAGCTAAACTTTTTCGAAGTTTATGCTCTCGAATTGAACATCTGAATGGAACGACATGCATGTCTTCCACAAAAAGACAATGATTTGGAGCATAAAAAGAGTAAACATTATGTTCTTACTTTTTGAATATGACAAATATATTTAGATGCACAAAAATGAGAATAACCATTTCAATGGGAAGGATCAAGAAAAACAATGGGTTCACCTGGATGGTGTATTTTGTGGTGTCTATATAAAATTTTATCATAAAACTTAATGTAGAACTCGTAAAAAAACTTTGTATATTTGAGAGTTTGAAAAATTAAAAACTTTCTTTTTTTTCTTTTCCTTTTCTTTCTTTTTTTTTTCCTTTTGTTTCTCTTTCTTCTTCCTTCCCCACACCACCATCGCTCTCCTTCTCCCACCCTCCCTAGTGCAACCGCCACCCTCACCTTCCCTCTCCCTTTCCCCTGCCACTCTCTCTCCCTCCTCTCCCTGACCCCATCCCCCTCCCCCCTTCCCGAGACTAGGAGAGGACAAGTGAGGGGGAGGAGGTGAGGGAGAGAGAATGAGAGAATTAAAAAAAAAGGAGAGGCTGAGGTGGTCGATGGTGGTGATAGCAGGTTGAGGTGGGGGGAAGAAAGGAAAGAAGGAAAAGACTTTTTTGTATGCTTTGGGGTATTTTGGGTGTATATTTTAAAAACTTTGGAGTATTTTTAAGGATTATTATCACTTTACTCCCTTAAACTATATCACTACTATCAATTTATTTTCTAACATTATCTTTTAATCATTCCACCCCCATAAGTAGTTCAACTCAACATGTTAACAAATTTTGGATAAAAATACCCTTTTATTTATTAGCATTACTACATTATCATTATCATTTCACCCCTTTAAATTACAGTGATACAATCACTTTACTTCCTAACAATATTTTCTAGGCATTTTACTCCATTATTAGCCACAATAGTATGTTCAAAAAAATATTAATGTATCTATTCTTTCTATATATAATTAAAAAAAAATTGGAATGATTATTCGTCCTTTTTTTCTCACTCTAAGAGTTCCAAAAACATAAAAAATGATTTTTTTCAAATTTCTTTTTTCATACTTATTAATACTAAGAAAAGAAAAAGAGATAGGAGAAAAGGAGACAGAAAAAATTAGATTTTGCAAAGAAAAAAATAAGAAAGAATCTAATATTATCGTATTACTTTAACATCACCGAGATTAGGATTAGAATTGGATAGTAAACAAAAAAGTAAAGTAACTTTAAAAAAAATAAAAATATTGAATTCTTTCTTATTTGTATTTTTTTAAAATAAGAATTGAGCTCTTTCTCTCTCTCTCTCTCTCTCTCTCTCTCTCTCTCTTTTCCCAACCTTTCTATTTTTTTTAGTATTAATAAGATTACCAAGAAGAAAGAGATTAATACTTTGACTTTTTCTCTTGATACTAAAAAAGAGAACAACCACTCTAAATTTTTTATTATTTTTATTATTTAAAGAGGAGAATACTTTTTTTCTAAAGTTTTTTAACTCACTAAATTGGTTTAATTGTGGGATAAATTGTCTAAAAAATAATTCTAGGGGGTAAATTGATAATAAAGCTATAGTTTATGAAAGGAAAATGATAATAATTTTAAGGGCTAAACATGTCTTTTTAATTGAATTAACAAACTCCATTAAAGTGATAATAACCCTATTTTTAAAAGTGTAACTTAAAGTTGGGGAAAAAATTTGTCCAAAATAAACTAGCAAAAAGCATGGATGCCAAGCAAACCTTACATTTTCTTCAACATTCATGATAAAATTGTGCAAAACTTTAGCCTTCCAAAATTAGGAGATTGGCTATGACGTACTAAAACTATTGGATGTGTTGTCTTCTCAACCTTGCCTCTAGTAGGCAAGAGTCATAGTAATTTTAGACCAACAGAGACAAATACAGCAGAAATATGACAATAGTTAGTTGACCTACAAAGTGGCCAGCATTAAGAATCCAGTAGAAATGTAAATTTCTGTATGATTTGGTGAAACCCTTTATACTCTTTGTCATCTTCAAAATACGCAGGAGTTCTATCCATGTTCAAGAAAAATGTGATCCCATCCCACCAATGAAATAGGAAAAAAGTTACTGATTTTGATAAGAGAGTGTTTTTCTTAGAAAGAGGGATTTGGGTTCTCAATTACTTGTGGGATTAATTAATTCCTACTTGAGCTTTTCAACCCATGTGGGCATTGGATACGTTGGTTGGACAGATGAGATGAAGCTATCAGCAACAATAAATAACATTCTAATCAAACTAAAGAAAGTCAAATTGATAGCATGGAAAATAAAGCATCATTCCTGCTCTATATTTCTTAAACCATTGCAGAATTGTGCTTGTCCATTTTAGATATTAACATTTACTCCATTTGCTCAAAGTTCATCGACCTGCAAAAAGTAGTTGAACAAATGCTTGAGAATTTACTGCATGTAATTGGATAAGCTGGTCTTATCTCAATTGAGATGTGATTGAAGAATGCTGATCAAATGAGGAAAAAAAATCATTTTTGGTATAATTCAAAATTACAAACTGATATAGTTCCTGAAAACTTCCCGACTTTTCGTTCTCAACTAAAACACAAAAGCTGATATATTTGCCTCCCTAATCCATGTCCTAATGAAATCACCTTGGATGGCTCTAGCAACAAGTTGAAAATTCCCATCTGTTCTAGCCATTATTACTTCTCCAACTCTGAGAAGTAAAAAATTTTCTAAGGAGAAAAACTCACGTGACATTCAGTGATATAGTCCTTAACTTCTTTCTAATATAACCATTCATCTAGGTAACATTATCATCATTACCATCACCTTCGGAAGGGCACCTCAATCTTTGAGGGTATACTGAGTACCTTCTTACTGCAATTTTGTGTTTTAGTTTGGATTCAGCTGATAATGATAAAGGCTCATCCTCATGTAAAATTGAGAGGAAATTGTAGAAATACTCTATTTATACACAAATGAAATCGGCAAGCATAAATTTACCAATTTATTGTGATTACCTTTAAGTTTAGATAGGCTAGGAAAAAAGTCAAAAGAATTCATACCATATTATTACTATAATGGCTAATGACTGCTATCAATTCCTTCCATGTTTCTGTGGCCTCTGCAAACTTACCTGCTGCAATTTGCTTCTTAATTTGAAGAACTACCCTACATTAAATATAGACTTATTAGAGAACCAAAATCTTTGAGCTTGATTAGATTAGAGAATTATGCTAATATGTACTACTAGTTTAAAGCATAAACATTGAAGACCTGTTTGATTTCTTCAAATCATTGCTGTCAAGCAACGAGACATCTTTTATAAGAGGACCCATGAAGACTGCATTTCAATATAAGACTCAATTCAGCTGCCCTAATCATGACACTAGTGAACAAGTAAAGAAAAAAAATACTGACTACAAACTGAAGAATCTTCTAGTGAGATCCAACTATCCCTTAATGCAACTTATATTTATAAAGGTAATAGCTCAATACTTTGGGATTTAAGAAAAAAGGTACTCCATATTCAATTTTAGGGCTCTAAATTCAATTTTTAAGTCCAAGATTTAGCTTCAATTTTCTAGCTTTAATAGCCTTTAAAGCAGATAAAGCCTTAATAGCAAATTTGCCTCCATAAAACTCTTCTATAATGTACAGAGGACTCTTCTAAAGGATCTCATTCCCTTTGAAAAATTCGATCAAGAATGTAGTTTCGTCAGTTGTTGCCTCAAAATCACTTTTCACAAACAATGTGGTGTCTTCCGTGTCTTCCACAAAACTATGGCCATCCCAACTAGATAATTCTATGCACAATTACTAGAAAACAAAATCAGGTAAGAAAATACAAAAAACCCCTCCAGGAAAATCTCATATTGATTTTTGAAAAAGCTGCATATTAATGAGATAATTCACTAACATTAATGTACCAACCATTACCTACACAAACAGGAGATCAACTTTCTGCAACCATGTTGAA